GGTACCCTGTAGGTGTTCTGTAGTTCTGCACATCCAGAAGATAATACCTACTCTAAAGAACTGGGGGACTTCTACTCCTACTTTATATAGCTCCATAGAAAAACATGGGGGTGTTTAATCCTCAGAGTACTAATTGGTAAGTACTGTAGTCAGAAATTCAGTACTCTTGCTCTCAGTGCAATGAAGTGCTTTGGGGTTTAAATACAAGACTAAATGATCTCCAGAGGTCCCTTCTGAATCTTGTGATTGTGTGGTCCGTCTCTTGTATTAGAGCCATCTGAAAATTCTCATACTTCGATGTTGAGTGTTACAAACCTAATGTGAGCCCTGTATTTAAAGTGACTTGAGTCTCATTCTGGAGAGGAACTGTGCTGTTGCACTCTCTGATGTCCTTTTGTAAAGTAGTGAGGGCAGTGTGGTAGACTTGGATGGGGGTGAGTTTGAGTCCCAGCTTCCCCGTGTTCCATCTGCCTTTCCCATCATCTGGTCTGTGCAAACTTCTTCCCCTGAGAAAGGGGCCACACATGCATTGAACATAGCTGTGGAAGGGCAGATGTTTGGTGGGTGCTGCTGCTCAAACAGCTTTTCCCCTTTCTTAACTGGGAGAAGGAGGGCAGCTGAATGGGCTCATCATGTAGCCAAGGTTTAGCCTGCATTGGTGGTGGAGAGTTGTCTTGGGCAATCACAAGCCATTGCAATGCCTGGCAGCTAGTTTAACAGCTGCTGGCAATGAAAACAGGACAGCTCCACACTAGCAGTGTTTATTTTTGGTATGTCTGTTCAGAAAATGTAATACCTGTTTGCTCCCTATGGGTGTCTGAGAGGCTTCTATTCACTGAGTTGGTTAAATCAATTTCTGCTGTTGTAAATGGAAAGCTGTATTAAGACCAGAACTAAAGTACTTTACATTCTTCTGTGTCGTGGCATATCATTCTTTTTTACTCAAGGCAATTCATTTTGTAGTGCCGTCAGATAATATTTTGTGTTATCTTCAGTCAATGCAGCTTTTATGACTTTCAGTGATACTTTAACAGTTTATTTAGTCCTAAAGATAATGGTCAATGGCCTTGAGTAGTCAAATTAACACCTCAGCAAGCCAGTATTTGAGCAAACCGCTAACAGTAACCTCGGGATGAAAAGCAATGAGAATCAATATAGCGAGTGCATTTTTAGGGGTTATTGATTGATTGATGCGTTCTGGCCTTAGTGGAGCAGCAGCATCGCCCCACAGCTGACTAAGATGAAGCTGCCAGTCGCCGATAACTGCAGGCCATCACCTGTGCAGTGTTTCACAGGCTCGGAGATGAGATGGCAGCCTCCTACAGGCCTGGGATAAAGAAACTGTGGTTCGCTGTGCCAAGCCGTAGGAAGATGCTGAGTGCTTCCCTGCTGCCAGCCATCGTGGTGAGGGTCAGTGACAACGTGATGCCATGCGGTGCCGCCCTCACCCTGTGGGGACACCGAGGCACCCCGCTCCTTCTGCACTGAGCAGCCCGCCATGTTGAGCCGAGTTCTGTCAGCAGCCTGGGTCTCCCCGCCGCAGCTCTCAATTGCTAGCAGGTTTCTCTCATTGCACCTCATTTGCATCTGGGACATCAATTAGCATGTTTGTTGAGGCTAATTGAATGAAACTCAATCATAGCTCTTAATTGCTTGACTATGTGAAAAGAAATCACATTAATGCAGCTAATTAAGTGTATGGCAATAGATGCAACATAATTAGGAGCGAAATGTAAAAAACAAGCGCAGGCGAAGGTGCGGGAGCAGGGCGTGGGGACGCGGCTCGCCGTGCTGCTGCCATGTCTGGGGAGGGTTCCCTCCGTGGTGCTGCTTGCTTTTTTTCTGCCTTGCTGAATGATGAACGTGGACAACTTGAGAAGAAAAATGCAAATGGCTTTGCAATTACTACTTTTTCAAGCTGTTGAGGGGCAGAAGATGGCACTTCTGGGGTGGCCCGCTGTTGAGTAGGCTCTAGGGACTTGTTAAGTGCTGTTTAAAAGTACTTGGCTTTGAATTACCCTCATGCCTTGTTAAAGGGTTTTTTCCCCTTTTTTCTTGGATCAGCATTTTCCACAACTAACATCTAGGGGAGTTATATCTGTAACATTTGCATATCAAAATCAGGCTTGCTGTCTTCTCTTTAACACAGCATATTCCAGATGACAGCAAGACCCTCATCTGTTCTAATCTGATCAAACCATACATTGCACTTCTGAGGCCGCCACATTATTCTGTAGTTTTCACTTCTATTCCCCGAGTGCAGATCTGAAGGAGCATGTGCAAGGGTGGATGGTGAGCTGGCTGCAGACTTGGTGCTTTCCTCTGCTCCTCCTCAGGGAACGCAGAGATTATCGCTGTGCATCTTGCACACAATGAGGGAGTCTTTATTGTTTACATTTGATATATCCCTATAAATATTTAAGCTGACGTTAATACCTGCGTGGCATCTGCTCTGTTTGGGCACTTCCATATAATCGTGATGTGGCTGCAGCGCGTTTGTTTCCTGCTTGCCAGCACTGACTGACTCTCCTAAATTGTTCATAGCTCACATAAGCCCGTTTTACTCCCAATTGGAAGAGCTTTAATCACACCCTGTCACATCTCACCGGTTGTAGCAGGGAAACTCATCTGAAGAACTTGGGCAAAAGTCTTCATTATGAAATTTGAATCGAATACAGCGTGGTTGTTGCATGTTAAACAAGAAGTGTCTATTTGAGGAAGTGCAGGCTGAGGTTTGATCACTATCTGATCTTGATCCAGCCTCGTTTTAGAGTCCATAAACCATAAATGCTCAGTTACATTCTGGTCATTGCATTTTAATTTGTAAAGAACTGACACTGCACTAGAAAGTTTATCAACTTGGTAATTTATAGATGAATCTGCTTTGTTCATTTCTATCTAGCAACTACCTAAGGGGGTTATTTTACTGCGTTGCTTTTGATTCTTGTAGAAGCAGAGCTCTGCTTTCCTCACCCAATGAACTGCTCGGACTTCCCTTTTTCATTCTTAATTCCCAAACAGCTGGGGAAAAAAAAAAGGAGGGAAAAAAAAAAAAGAAAAGCTCATTTCTATTTTGTACCACGGATTAATGTTAGGTGTGAAGAAATGAGCACCACTTGAGCAGTAGGTTTTGATTTGTTTTGAACAGAATTTATAATTTGTATTGTAAAAACTGTCAGAGGTGGAGGGATTTTTATGAGGGAGCTGATTGCTCCCTGTGTTGTGCCAGTAGTGATTTAGATCTGGAGCTGCTTTTAGTCTGTGCTGGTATTTACTTGTAGAATTGGCGCTGTGGTCATACACAGTGGCCTGCAGAATTGGAACTGTTCTAATTAATATCTGTGATCTTCTGTCTTATACTGTGTAGTCTGACTAAATTTTGCCCTGGACACTTAAGGAACTGAAAGAAATATCACTGTCAGCAAGTCTTTGCTTGTGCAGGCACAGAGCATCACTGGTTCTCCGGAAAGCAACCAACTTCTACCTGCAAAGAAACGAGGCTTTTTGCTACAGAACACTGTTCAAGAGGAACATTCCCTTGGTTTCCAGTTTAACTCAAGAGTTTATGCCAATTTCTTTTCCCAGTCATTGGTTCACATTGCCATTTTCTTCTTGGGGCGCATCCACCCACACTGTGTTTTGTACAATATTTTTTATGTAGTGTTTGTCCTTCATTTTGGCATCTCGTATGACCTGCCCTGCGTTTCCTCTCAAAGCATGCAGTCTCTTTCTTTCTGTGGTTGTCCTTGTGTTTGTTCCAGCTTCACTTATTTGTCTTCTGAAATGTCAGTAGCCGCAATAGCGTGTACTGGGAGGTGAAAATTTTGTGTTCTGGCTTTAAAATTCACCATCTCTACTGGCAGCATCTCTTCTGGTGTACCACAGGATTGCAGATTCAGTGGCTGTCTTACCTTAATGAACTGTCATTTGTCCTCTGATAAAAAAAAAAAAAAAAGAGGCTCATTTGCTTCTCTGTGTTCATCTGAAGAAGCCCACAGGCAATTTAGAGTGTGCAGCTGAAGCTGGAATGCAGAATCCTGAGCATATTCTTCCAGTATAGAGATCAGCACGGCTCACTTTCTCCCAGGTTTCTTGGAAAATAGCAGCTGCAGCCACTTGGCCATTTCCTTGACACGAGTTATTGGATTTGCTTATTCCTTCTTTGTGTGCCTTTCAAACAAGAATTAGGAAAAGCCTTTTCCACTTCTGGCTTCCAACTTTTACTGTATTTTCTCTAATCAGACCTGATTTACATAATTTTCTTCCTGCTGTGATTTTTTTTTTTTCCATGTACGGAGGAAGGCTCATAATCTAAGGAGACAGTGTTGTAATTTCAGAAACCTTACCAGTCAGTCAGTGCCCTTTAATAACTTTGTCAATGTTTGTCAATGAACTTCTGCCAAATTTTATGGAGAAAGAAATAACTGCGTGAAACATTGGTGAAATAGAGAGGATACACAAGCAAACATGTTCATGAGAGGCAGTCAATCTAATCTTGTCATGGGCTTTGGGCCTGGCAAAGTTGCATGTGTGGCTCAAAAGCAGCCACATTGTGACTTGCCACTCACCCTGCTAGTTGTTGGAGGGTGTAGCAGCTCAAGGCTTTGAATCACAGAATCATTAAGGTTGGAAAAGAGCAATAAAATTAATCTTGTCCAATCCCAACCCACTCTACCATGCCCACTGCCCACGTCCCTCAGTGCCACATCCCCACTGTTCTGGAACACCTCCAGGGTTGGTGACCCCACCACCTCCCTGGGCAGCTGTGCCACTGCATCACTGCTCTCTTGAGAAGAAATTCTTCCTAATATTCAGCCTGAATTTTGCGTTACTAGCATGGACTGTATTACCTAGAAGATGGAAGGAAAGAGAAAACAGTGTAGTGGATGATAGCAGATACAGGACTGCATTCTTACTAAGCAGTGTTTTAGTTGATCTAATGCTTACAGAACTACCTGTTTGATTCTGTTTCTTTGTGTTGTTTCTTTCCCTCTTACCAGGACTACATGCAGAACGTTCACGGGAAAGAAATTGACTTGCTGAGAACCACTGTGAAAGTTCCTGGAAAGAGGCCGCCTCGAGCTACGTCAGCTTGTGCCCCCATCTCCAGTCCCAAAACAAATGGCCTTTCCAAGGACATGAGCAGTTTACACATCTCACCGAATTCAGGTAATGCCAGCCAAACAAGCGAAGAGCTGTTTTTCCAATTGTGTGTAGGCAGTTGTCATCTATCACTGGGGTGGGAATGAGATTAATTAATTAAAAATCTCAGTGACGGCTACTGTGCAGCTTTTTAAACCTTCTCTGGCTAGTGATCTGGCCTCCACAAGTGATTCTACATTTTAAAATAACCTTCAACATCCATCTTCTATATTTGGTACATTATACTTGCCAAAAGCCGATGTAATTTCACCAAGGCTAGAACTGGTGTGACCTTACTACTGACTCATTAAGTCTAATACTGTGGAAAAGCAGGAGATGTCACTTGAAAGGTCTGCTGTGGCTTCTTGGTGGCATCCACATCGCTTGCTTCCACCATTAGAAGGATGCATAATTTTTGGACTTTCCAGCAGTGAGATTCTTCTATAGAAGGCCATTTTATTTTCTTTATGGAAGGAGTTTATAGCTCTTTGTGAGCTCTAAACAAAGAATTTTATTGTTCGCTGAAGTACTTGTCCATGCAGCTAAATGGATTTTAAAAATTGCTTTGAGAAAAACCATTTAAGACATTTTATTTTACAAAGCACACGGCTTATGCAAAACACATAACAGTATAGCGTCGGTATAGAAGTTTTGTCAGCATGTTTGGGATGACATCCATAAAGAGCCAAGTGCCTTTTCCAGTTACGACTAACATAGGCATCTCCAGCACAGGCTGACAAAGGTGTCCAAGCACTTCTATCTCTGTACAGTCCACGCTTGTAGGTACAGTGAGCAACTGTAGGAAAGAACGTGGCAAGAGGAGACCCGTTCAAGGATCTTCTGCGTAGTAGTGGTTATTTGTGCTTCAGACCACGGTGTGATCCTCTGCCTTTCTACAGGGCAAATTACCCTACTTCAGGAGTAGGGAGGATTTTCCATCCAACTTCTGATGCTGCTCTTTGAGGTGAAACGTTCAAATAAAAAAGAATAACAATAAAAAAACCTTTTATCTTTTCTGTGCTGCCACTGAGTAGATATCCCTATGGATAAACAACAGTTCTTGCATTGCACGTGCTATTAGTCGGGCTTGGGACTTGATATGTCTGAAAGTGGTTTCATCAGCCTTTTTCAAGTTGTGGTCTGTGCCTCTAGAGGTGGGGAGCTGGCACTGTCATTGGAAGAGTTCATAGGAGAAAGTAATTCGTGGTTGGTTCATGTGTTACATTTTGTTTTCTAATCAAGATGACTGGGAGAGCGGGTTGTTTTTCAGCATATCCCGTTATTTTGGGAAGAGAAGTGCTGGTCTGAGTCAATATATCAGCAAAAGGACTTCTGTTTTTAAGACAGTTGAATGGCTTGAAACAGGCAGAAATTATTTATTCCTCCAGAGAAGTAAGTTTCAGAAAACATATGCAGGAGTACATGGTAATAGAAGTTTTTAATATGGTATTTACATATTAAAGTTCTAAACTAATTACTGCTTTCCAAGCATATAAGAGTGTAACCAGGTAAAGGAGAACCCAGTTCTTTATTGTTACCCACTTGAATACCTTTGCCTCTTGTCTCGTGCAGCTGATCTTCAACCTTAAGCAAGATTCTGACCTGCTTGTCTTTGCATTGCCTTCTTCCCATAGATAAAGCAAATACCAATGCATTAATGATGCTTCCAACCGACTATAGGGGTGGCGTAACTGTCTGGATACATCTTTATAAGTTCCTGGGGGGAGCAGTGAAGATGGGCTGGATGATGGGTTCCTACCTGCTGCTTTGTGCCCACTTTAGGTGTCAGAGGGTGTGGAGGTTGCTAAGATTTTGGTGAGATGGAAGGGTTGGTTCTGGTCTGTCTGGTGGTTGCATTTCTGTGCAGATGACCAGCATCAAGAGAGGAGCTTTATTGAGAAAGCCAAGTCGTGTTTTCCAGGCTGTACTGAAATCAGTCAACAGCTGATGGATCGAAGCAGTGATCACTGGAGATAGTAGAGCAGATCAGGAGTATACCCAGCAGCAGCTCAGCTGTGCGTCAGTCCTTATGTCATTCTCAGTGCTCTCATATTCAGTTAAGATTGAAGAAAGAGCTGCATTGCACTTAGTGATTTTAGAATATATTGGGAGTGTTAGCATTGTAAAAAGGCAAAGTCACAAGCTGTGCCTGGCTTGGCAGTGTGAGCCTTCTTGTTCTCACATGCACTGGCAGTGCTTTGTGTGCAGTGGGGTCATGGCTTCTGTTCAGTGGGATGCCCGGGGGTACGGCTCAGCTCCTGGTGTGCCAGGAGGAGCCCTGGCATCCGCACTCATCTGTCATGCAGCTAAAAATATTTGCAAATTATCCCTTGTTCTGTCTGTCATGCTGTCTCAGAGCGTTTTCTCAGTTGCTAGTACTGGCAAAACGTTGTCTTCATTGTAAGTGATATTTTAAAACTGATGGCAGGACTGAAATTGTCTGGTTTTGCTGTTGACAAGCTTATGTACACAGATCTGCTGTGCCAAGGAGACTCGGGCCAAGCCCAGGAGAAAATCAACATTTGCTCTTTTTATTAGCAAATACGCGATGTTCTCACTGCATCACATTGCACCTCACCCCTGGAACAGTGATGCTTCGTATTCTTCTGTGCTTTTGCCAGTGCAGACTTGGGATGTGGAAATATTCTCCATGCTTAGGAGTGAGTTGTTTGATGTGGTCTGGATTTTCCTTCTGCTGTTACGAGATTGTGTATGGGTAAAAAGATACGATGTTGGAAGAGTACCAGCACTCAGAATGTCTGAGGTCACTCATGGAAATCAAGCTTTTAGCACATAGGTAGTGATAAGCACAGGCCCACTAGGAGCATTTCCCTGATGAAATTCCCCAGTGTTTCAGCCCACTGAGGACCTTTCCCAAGGTGCTTCCCAGCAGTGCTGTGCGACAGGAGCTTGGCCATGCTGTTTGCACCTTGTGAGTGGCAGAACTTCAGCTGAGAACCAAATGTGGAGTAACACGAGGAGGTTTTGATATTCTGCTTGTGAGTCTTAGGTTGACCACTGTATGCAGGAATTCATACAAGACGAATAGCAGACAGAATTAAGCTGATTAGGGAGACATTACCATTGGATTCAAAAGGGATCTACCCATTTTTGAGGCGAAAGGATTTATAATGGTCAAGTAGCAAGGGAAGGTTTGTCTCTTAAATCTGTTAGCATAGCTGTTATGTGCAAAAGCAGTTTAAGAGCACGTCCTTCCTAGCACATAGAGCTTAGTGCTGCTTTGTGGCACCTCTCCGAACAGGATTGTTTTCATGGTTTGAAGACTATTTGATAAACACAGGCATATAACAGCCACCTCAGTGACAGCAGCCTGATCTGTGAGTGTGTTTACATCCCAAACATCTGGAAGCAGCTCTCTCTGGGAGGCAGTCAACAACAAAAGCCAGGTTGCATCCCTTCCTGCAAGTTTCCACTTCAGAGATGGAAGGGAAAAAAATGCCCGTTAGGAGGGTAGATGAAGGAGAAGCCAGGATGAGTGTTTTTCTGCTCTATGCTGGCACAAGAGCTGTGATGAGTATAAATAAGGTGTTCCTGTCGCTGCAGAGCCAAGCAACTAGCTCACAAAAAGGTGCATTTACTCTGTCTGAATGTTTTGCCATGACACAATGAAAGCAAAAGCTGGCCTCTGGGCTTTCTTGCTTTTTTGTGTTTGGGCTCTGACAGATTTTGGACTCTGAGATTCTGTGTGCCCACTGCTCCTAAGTTAGTACACAGGGGTAGGGGCTGTCCCATGTTTGTTATGTGCAAGTTTGAAACAGTGAATATTGAACTGGGGCTTTATGAAAGGTGCTCTCTGTTAACTTGGGAGGAGTCTGTGAGCTGGGAAAATGAAAGCTGGTTTCCTTTAGTGCATGTTTCTAAATATGTTTTACTTTTAAATCAAAGTTGTTGGATGTTGCTTAAGTAAATTACTATAAATTTAACTTAAATGATTTAGGTGGTGCTGACCATCATTCTGTGGGCGTATCTCTCTTGAAGCACTTTAGAAGGGGATATAAGCAGTGGACTCGCTCAGTTCCAGATGCAGCCAGCAGTTGGCAGTTCATCACGGCTGTGTTAGAGCCAGCACCATGCAGTTCAGCCTCTGGGCAATTCCCTGTGCCACTCCTCCATGTGGTCACTGCCTTCCCCTGCTCCACGTGGGTCCCTCCCATGGATGCTGTCCTTCCCAACAGATCCTGTGTGTGCTTCCCACAGGCTGCAGCTCTCCAAGCACGGCTCCAAACCATAGGGCCACCCTCCATCCCATAAGTCTGGTGTACCCAAAGCCAGAGCCACAGCAGGAGCTGCTGGTGTAGAAAGTTCACATCTAAAAATAGCATAGACATAAATTGCTTCCTGATTAACAGTTCGTTTAAATAATTTGCTGCTATTAGACTTACTTACAGTAGTGAGTGTATTTTCAGCATCCTAAAATGTGTTAGCTGCATAGCCATCATTAAAGGTTGTTATCTGCTAAGTATGTGTGGCTCCTCAGGCATGCTGAAAGAGCCACGTGTTCACATTTTTATAAATGGGGGAATTTCCATTTGTTATTAATTGTGGCCATCTATCAAATCAATACAGCAGTCATTAGGAAATCTTACTGTACACCAAAGTGCTTGGAATCAGGCTGAGTTGGAGTGGACTGCCTTCCAGGTTTTTCATAGAAAACCTGTGATTGTTGGTTGGTGCTTTGTAGTAATTTTTGCAGTATGAGCTTAACCTGAAATGTTTTGTGTGCTTTAAACAGAGCATGAGCTTTTACAGTTCTACCACAGCTCACAAGCACAGGTTCGTGGCTTAGTTTTGGCATTAAGTCATCCAAGTCAGGCTTCCGTTTTGCTTTGCTGTAAGTTCAGTGATATAAGCTGTAGTGAATGGAAGGAGAAATTGTTGCTTGCCGTGTTTGTATGGGGAAAAAAGCCAGACTGTAAGCGTGTTGGAGATTTCCCTCTCATCCCACTAGAGGGTGATCCCTCAAGGTCGTCTTGTCCAGTTTGTTCGTGCCAGGATTTGTGCTTTCC